TGTATCAAGGGCAACATCAATTGAACATTTCATGAAATTCTGTACCCAATTGTTTGAGTTATGATTACAAAAAAAATCCAAAATTATTGTTTCTATTACATTATATTGTCAAGATTTGTAATACTGGAATTATTATGTAAAGTATGCAACATATTTAAATCACTGTCATATAGTGTAAAATTAATGACGGATGAGGAATTATGATTATCTACATTGCCTTTTTGTGCCAAATTGCGAAATGTTCTGGCATGTTCCGCCGACAAATGACGAAATAATAAGATTTCAAAATCTCGGTATCAGCTTCTTTCACTTGTTTGATACAAATGTCATCCCACCCCGTAGCTTTCTTAGAAATAACAATATTTCTAATGTCTTGTATTGTTACTGGATTCACTATTGCTGGATTCAGTATTATGATGCACGCTTTCCGAGATAATTGATCAAACAAATATTTTGTCCCTGTGTAGTTAATTCTTTTACTCAACGTATCTCCATTTTTTACATGAAGAAGGTGTACTAATTATGGCAGTTCAGTGTGAGTTATTTAAACACCACCATAAACCATCGTTCTTTCTTGTCTATTAAATTGTTAATGCAATTCAATTTGTCTTGGAATAATGCGTTCTAGGCGACACTCTAAAACATTAGTCGTGATTATTAGTAGTAGGCAAATCTGCGAATAAGTCTGCTCGCCCTGGCATACAAATATGTCATCTGTTCATTGATTATCATTCTTCTGGGTTTAACTGTACAAATGTGGCCTTTGATGACATTATTCGCGGACACATACAGGTTGACAAATAATTCATTGATACTAGATAGTGTGTAAGGCGCACCGTCGATAATTGTTTAATCCTGTTTTCTTGCCTAATCTATTATTATTTTGGATATAATGTATTAAATGTATTAGATATTTTCTGAATAATAAGTTGATCCTGGAATTCTGTTTATTCGAATATTCCCATTTTACTGTACTGGTTTGAAACGCTAAAGTAAGAATGACGTTGTTTCCCTTCCGTTCTCTGATGTCTTACTGTAATGCATTCATTTTTTCGACCAATTTATAAGTGTCAGCGATTATTGTATTTCTGCCTGTGTGCTTTTAACTGCGTAGATGTCAGATATGAATTCTTTCAAACATACTAGTGTGTCGTAGTTAATCTAATTTTCGTTTTCAAATTATATTTTGGTCTGGAGACTATGATAGATTTAATACCATTGTAATAAGTCAATTGCCGAACAGCGCTGTACGCATCACATAGCGAATTCGTAGATGGCCGTGATGCTCGCTCGAAACTAGTGGAAAGACAGATTATACTGGCTTGGGTTACACGTTTTCGGTAAATTGACTTTCCCTTTTAGAAAAAAATGTCTATATAACATAATGTCCATTATTTACTTTTTCCCCAACATGAACAGAAGTAAAGCAAATTCTCGAAAAATTGAGACGTGGTGTTGTCTATCATATATCATGAAATAAATAATGTTGTCATTAAATCCTCTTATCATGTTTTGTTACATTTCACGGAATAAACCCTCAAAGCTTGTTCCGTGTTTTATTTCAATAATAAAGATCAAGACCTGTAACAATGAAAGTGACGAATATCTTAATAATATGTAAACTGAGCGAAGTTGGTGGTGGTTTTAATGCTTTTAATGTTTGGAATATTATAGAATAATATTTCGCACATTACCCTATTATTTGATCAATCTATGTTAGATAAAGAGAACAGTCTATGGCAAGAACCTGAATACATTATCGCGTATAGACTCTTGTACGAATCCAATATGACGCTGTGGAGAATGTGTTATTATTGTTAAAAATAACCACTACCGTTATTAAACAAATTTAGTTAAATTTAAAATTTGTGTTGAAATGAATCTACTTACATATATAGCTTTTACATTGCCTTGTGATAATGTAAAACTATGACGTCATCTAAATCTCTAATTCTAAAAGCAGTAATTTCTAACAAGCAATATTGGATATTGCGTAACTTCCTAAATAACGCGCGCAAACACGTTCGTACGTAAATGACCAAGAAATCTTAAATCTTAAGAATCAGGGTGGTTTGTAGTTCAAGTGCGGGGAAACCTTCGATATTACTAACTCACATAGAACAATCTTGTTCATATGTTCGTGAATTTCTCTCGAGCAATGTCCAGTTATCGGCTGATGATAACGCTGCGTTTTAATAATGGACAGCACTCGGTATTATGGGATTTGGTCATCCCTCAATGTATATGACATGAAAGTACCTGAACAAGAAGATTTTACGCCATGTTGTAGGTTTAGCTAACGCTTACGACATCGTTAATCATTCAAAAAAAAAAATATTAAACATTTGTTACACACTACCATGGTTATTTTTCCATAAGAGACAATGTTGTGAACTCTACCAGTATGTAGGATGGAATCTACATAGTCTCAATAATATTGTATTGTGTTAAATATTTATTGTTGTGGTAAATTTACAATACAATAATGTGCTTTTTTCGCATGCACGTTTGGAACACACTTGAAAGCACTGTGGGCAACACATATATTATTCAGGTCAAGGGATTCTTACTTACAAACTATGATTATACTCAGACTCCCAAACACTATATGGTACATTGTTTGGATTCACGCTTTATTACATGAGAACAATACCAACTATCAGACAGATCTTTGTCACCGGAATTCCTTGTATGGTTCGATCTCGTTAGATTTTATATAATTATTTATTTTCTGCTTTCAATTGTATACTAATAATACTATAATTATATAAATGAACATTGTGAATAGTTAAAAACCTTTCGTTGTCATGTGTAACTTGGGATCAAATATTTCATCGAAGAGGGCGAGCGGTTAAATTTAATTGGGCTGAAATAAAAAAGGGATTTATTGATAATGGAGAACAATGTATATTTTTGTTGACTTTAGAATGATTAATGTTAGTGTTAACTTCTGCGTCCGAATCTCATTCTCTTCCACACACATGAACAGAAATGAAACCTCCATTGTATGTCGTTCTCAATGTCTTTAATTGTTTCATATGCAAATTTCAGTGAGACGATTCAACAATTTCCATTTGTCAGTAAATGTGTTGTACATATCTATATAATATATTCTACTGAATGTCTTTTTAGCTCTGGACCCTTTAAAAGAATTTCCATTAATCCACATTTTTGTAAGAGATAATATAAGCATCCAATAATTACACTGTCTCATTCATGTTCTACCTACACTAGCAATATATCTATTGTAAGGGGTTTCAACTTTCACTAGGCAAATGAATCATTATCCCAATACTCGCGAATTGTATACATTTCTGGTCCCATGCAATTTAAAGCAATGGGTGACTACTGACACAGGTTGTTATATATTAGTATTGTTGTAGATTACAAAGACAGTATACAATGAAGTTCGTTTGCAATATTGAATTTGTATTACATTGACCGAGGCTAAACAAAAAAAATACGGCGAAATTCAAATATAAGCAAATTTTATTGACCAATCTTAACTGTGCTATTTATTATGTATTGTGGTTTAAAGAGTGGGAAATCAAAAGTTTGATTGACAGCAATTTAGAAAGTGAGCAATTATTGTAGGCCGAAACAATTATTAATTTATAGTCATTTTGTTTACCCTATAAGAACATCTACTTAATTATAAAACATGATTAACTAAATGTAGATTGATGGTATTAGTTTTACAATACAAATTAGAAAACATAAAAACATAGGATACGTTCAGAAAAAAAACATTGCCAATTTCCTGGTTATAATAATTGGGAGGGTGTCGGGCATCCATAATCTTAATGCGTCATTTCACTTATTAATGTGAGTAAAGCACAATCAAATTATAGAAAAAAAGGCAAAATGCCGTCAGTTAATGCGCCACATAATTTCAAGGCTATAAATAATTAAAAGTTTAATTTTGGTTTAATACGCATGACAGAATTTTCACACAATTTACTATAATTAGAATTTAAAAAAAAAAAACATTAATCAGTTTGTTATGTGATAGGCGACTGTAAAATTGGTGATCCTGCAAATAGTAATTTTCTTATTCAGTGTGTTATGGTCGGTCAAGTATATTTTTGTCAGACCTTTGATCACAATGTAATACTCCTTTTGTAGTTCTTTCGGGAAGGGTTGGGTATTTCTGGTCAGTGGGAATCGCTCACTCGACTTGGCTGCTTGAGTTCCGGGATCACGGCGAATGTGTTATGAAATCAACATTCATACGCATACACAGGCAAGACGCGATAGAAGACACGTAGTTATCGTTGGGGAAGCACACGAGGTTGACACGCTGATAGCTGGTTGTTGTGTGTTGCTTCTGTCGACGTGAAGTTGATATGACCAAGCGGCTAATTTTGAAGGAAAATGTCGACCCTTTTTAAAGGGGATCACTATATAAATTTAGCTTGACTTGTCAATTGTTTTTTCTTTTGTTTTTGGAAGATGCATTGTCTGTAACCAGTACACCCGGAGATAAATGACTTGTTATGTCATGAGGGTGTTAAAATGTTGATGCTCAAATGACGCCTAGTATTAATTTTCAAATTATTGTCTTAGTGCTTTTAACATGTTTGTCTGAAGGCGACTGATGGTAGCCGTTTCATTTCTAATTCAAACATGTGATGCTAAGCCGTTTGATGTGCGAATGTAACCCATGATAACAATATAACGGTACAAACATGATCAATCACTTGAGGCAAGTGCTATTGCTAACAAACGTGAAACAACTTTTGCAGCATTGTGTCCCGAACCAATCACAACACTAATTATCGTAATGTGATTTTTTTGCAGGGATTACAATTGTCCAGGGAATTGGCGCGTATTCGACTTGAACTAATACGTTTTTACTGGGGATAAACTAATATAGTGATAAATCTGCATTCCAGGCAGGCAGTCTATATGACTATTGTTGATTAAAAACAGTATAGTTAATAAATAATATGACAAGCATTTAAGAATGCAAATAACATTATTTCTTTGTACATTTTCAGGTTTTCAATATGATGGTGATTTGGATGCTCGTACAGCTTTATTTCATGATCTTTTCAATGATTATGACAAAGACGTTTTACCCACTGGTTCATTTAACGACAACAACAACACAATTATTTTACCTGTCAATGTATCATTTGGTCTTGGTATTAATGAGATTGGCGATGTGGTAAGCAAATAAATATTTTGTAGGTTGTAATTCTATACTATTCCATGTTTTTTCACAGGGGGTCACAACAAAACTACACCCGGCGAACAATCACAGATGAGGTCATTATTGAGCTCTGCAGTTTGTGGCATTAATACTGGAGTACATTATTGCAACATATTTTTAGTGGCGTCTTCCTCTCTCTCTTATTCAATGATGTATGGGCCTCCACATAGGTAAAAAATAATATGGCTTCTTCCCACTTCACTTTTTATGGATTTCTACAGCTTCACTCTCCACATTTTATAAAAAAATCAATTCACTTCATTTTTTATAACACAAGTATTCTCCACTTCACTTTATATTAGCATTCAATTATTGTACTGATTAATATTAACTAGAAACTTTCAGATAAAATGATTTATTGCATTACAGATGTTATCAGGGTAAATCTTCATACTAATAAAGCACTATAGATTGTACTGCTGTTTCTGTTAGTCCCCAATTTAAATTATCGGTAGTTGAAAAACCGGCATATACAATTTACCTTCTGTGCATCCAGTCATAACTTAGCTCTATATTATTTATGGTCATCATTAGCACATACATCACATTGAGGACATGATGAATGTGCAGGAGTTCATGATTGGACCGAAGATATGTGACTACATTTATTTTATTTGTGTGACTACTGGTAAATGAGAAACATATAATAATAATAATATTTATTATCACCGTAAAGACAATTTGACTTTTCGTTTTTGGTTTATACGTTACATGTAATAAAGTTTTTTATCATAATTCAACAAAATATGTTAAAATAATAAAATGTCTAATACATATGTTATCGACACATAATTTAAAATTAAAATGTAGACAAAATCTTTCCCTGCAATATAGTAATATCATCTTTGAAGTTCAGAAACAAATACATACAATAGACATTTATCATGATGCAATCATTTATTTAAATATCCTCATAATTGTTACATAACAACAACATTTTTCATGTTACTTTCTGTTTTAAAGCAGGATGAAATGTTGTAAACACAGGGACACTATTATAGCCATGCCGTATTTGATTGGTATTCTGAGTTGGTAATATTATCAATAATCATTAATAAATTTCAAAACAAGAATATGACCTGACAAGCTTAAATAGGTAGAAATCATCTGGAATCATGTTACAGAAGAAGAAACTTGAAACTGACCTAACTCAATTGCAAGTTTCAACACTTGAAAATGTTTTATAATTATGTGTCCCCAGGGAATTACATTTGCAGTCTACATGTATTTGTATCTGAGGTTGACCAAAGTGGAGAATGTTTTTGACAATATATTCCCCAAATGTACATGTTTGGAAACCCAGTTTATAATCAGATGCACACCTCATACTGCTCAATAAGAGCTGTCACTCTCAGATGCATTGCATCAAAACTTTTAATGTGATTAAGCTTCCAAATTCCTAAATATCAATTTTGACAAAAATTTGAATCTCACATGGCTTTATAAGATATATTACTCTCAAATATACTGCATAAAAATCTTTCATGTAATCAAACTTACAAAGGTCCAACATATTAATTTTGACCAAAAATGACAAAAAACTCACCAAAAATACATGTTTCAGAGTTTTAAAAATAATCATCAAAACTTGTTGTGTAATTGAGCTCACCAAGGAGTACTTAAAACGTAAATAACTGGTTATTGGACAGACAATATATAGCACAATAGGGACACAATGTCTCTGTTTCTACAGCTGTATTTTATAGCTTGCAAGTGTGGGACCTTGT